TAACCAAGGTGGTCGTGACTCAGTCCGTGTTGGTTTATATCACTTTTTTTTTTCTTTTTATTGAGTTTATTGGTACAATCTAGGTATACAGTACAGTTACATTCATTACTGGGATCTTGTACCTTTACATGAAAGGTCTTGATTCTCATTTTTTCCCCTTGTCCCTGCCCTCCCTTCACCCCCTCCTCCCCTCCCCATTTACAAACACTTTATTTCCATTTTTTCAGTTTCTCATATTTTTTTCTTCTCCCTTATTACCTTTCTCCCACCCTTCCCACTTTCCCTACACCTTTAGTCCTTTACTTCCTATTTCACATTATTAATTGTCTCATTAGGATCCTGTGTACTATTATAGTTTTTCACACCAAAGAAACTATTCGGTATTTCAATTAAAGAAATCTCTGTATGAACATTAAAAATAGGGAATCCTAAAATAAAAATAAAAAGGAAAGTAAAAGAGAAAAGGCAATGATGTAAGATTAAAATAATCCTTAATTCTGAAGATGAAAATGATCCCTGAACATATTTAAATTGCTTCTTGCTCTTGTAGTCTTATATTATTCTTTTTTTTCATTATTTAGAAATTATTAGTTTCTGTAATCAAACCCACGTAGATATGACCTTACATATTTAATACAGTGCGTTACCCCTATACAAATGGAAAAAAAATTAACATTTCTAGACCAATATGGCTGTTAATTTCTGTACAATGCCAACTCAACACAGTAAATTGAGATAACTTTTCCCAAAATCGACAGCAGAGTTAAAATTTCCAAAAATTCTAATTATATATATATGTATATATATGTATATTTATATAAAAGACCAATAATAGCAGTATGTTATGCATCAAAGTTTATATCACTTGTAATTTTACATTATTATTTTAGTTCACTGAACTTTGACCTAATGGCTAATACCAGATTGAAACTGTTTTAAAAGAATGATGACTACTTGAATGCTTTGTATGGGTAGTGAAGACACATTTGAACTACATAAATGCATCTTGCAAAAAGATACTTTTTAGTAATGTTTGTATTTGGGAGTAATTTTATCTAATCCAACTGAAGGAACAGGTGTCTGGACTTGCCTTGGCCAGGGCCGTGGCTGTGGCCTCGGAAGATTCTGGGATGAGGTGAATTGGCTGTTTTGCCAGTCCTGCTTTGTTCTCGGCTGGCCCACTTGGGCTTACAGAAAATCTCTTTCCTGCATTCCCAGCAGCCTCTGTATGGTTTTTCCTTATGTCCCCTTTCCAGTGCCCCAGCCTCTCAGGCTGCCAAGTGGGAGGAAGACTGTGGATGACTCTGACTTGGCTTTTCCTCTGGTCTCTGGAGTCCTCTTTTGCTGCATTGTTTTTTTTTTTGTTGTTGTTGTTTTGGTTTGGTTTTTTGTTTTGTTTTTCTGAGACAGGGTCTCCCTATGTAGTTGAGACTGACCTGGAGCTCACTATGTAGCCCAGGCTGCTCTCGAACTCACAGCGATCCTCCTGCCTCAGCCTCCTGAGTGCTGGGATTACAGGTGTGTGCCACCAGGTCTGGCTTTTTGCTGCATTGTTTACCCACCTTGAACCAGTGGAATAGCTGCTGGTTGCGATGCTTAGTTCAGGACTGGTCTGTTAGCACCTTTTGAGAAGTATCTTGTCTCTTTTTATTTTTATTTATTTTAAAAAATTAATTAAAAAATTTTTTTTTCATACCAGGGATCAAACTCAGGACCTTGTGCTTGCAAGGCAGGCACAGGCATCACTGAGCTAAATCTGCAGCCCCCCTTGTGTCTTTTTAAAGTTTTTTTATTTGTACATATTAGCAGTTTGCAATGATTATAGTCCTCGTGGGGAGTTGGTACATGTACGTAACACATCTTAATTCTTTTTATCCCCTATTAATCTCCTTCCCACTGGAGAAAGATCTGTCTATCTGCCTACTTTATCTATTTTTTATTTTGCTCTTTATTTATATTTTGGGTTTCTTATGTAAGAGAAAACTTGCAATATTTAAACTTGTGCACTTAATGGTCTCAAGGTGCATCATCCACTTTCCTCCAAATGACTCGTTTATTTTTCTGTGTGGCAGCGTAGTACTCCACAGTGTGTAAATACCACATTCTATTTATCAATTCATCTGCACAACAGCACGATTCATAATAGCCAAATCTTAGAAACAGCTTATATGTCCATCAAAAGACAGATAAAGAAAATGTGGTATTCATACATTATGGAGTACTACTCTGCCATAAAGAAGGATAAACTTGAATCATTTGGAGGAAAATAGATGCACCTTGAGACCATAATCTTAAGTGAAATAAATCAGTTAGTGAAATAAATCCCCATTTTCTTTTTTGTTGTTGTTATTTGTTTGTTTTTAGTACTGGGGATTGAACTCGGGTCCTTGTGCTTGCAAGGCAGGTGCCAGAACCACTGTGCTAAATCCCCAGCCCCCCATTTTCTAATGGGCATTTGGGGGAGAATGCCGAACATTTCTTCATGTATTATCCATTTGTACTTCTTCTGAGAAGTGACTGTTCATTTCAAGTACTCATTTTTTGATTCGGTCTTTTATTGGAGGGGAGTCTTAAGTTTTTTGAGTTCTTTATGTATTCTAGATATGAATCTTCTGTGTGGAAATAGCTGGCAAAAAATTTTCCTATTCCTGTAGGCTTTCTTTACTCTGTCGGTTTTTTCTTTTGATGTGCAGAAGCTTTTTAATTTGAAATGGTCCCATTTGTTGATTCTTGCTACTAGAACCAAGAATCCCCTGTGTAACTGGGACTCTGCTTCTTATACCTATGACTTTAAGAGTTTTACTTTTCAGCAGGTTAAGTGTTTCTGTTTTAACATTCAGATCTTGATCCATTCTGATTTTAGTTTATTATGTGTGAGGAATGGGGACTAGACTCAGTTGAGAAGTATCTTGTCTCTTTCTGACCTTTGCAAAGTAGGAGGAGAATCAAGTAAAGGAGCTAAGTTTGTGGTTTTTGCTACTTGAAGCATGCCTCTCTTGTGGGTTAAATTGTAATTTTCTGAATCAGTATAGTATATCTCGCCTGACCTATCATGTTTACTGTGGTGATTCTTCCTAGCATTGTATTATGAAGAGGGCTTGGTCTTAGGGTCTAAGCTGTGTGATCCTGGGCCAGTTACTCAACTTCTACCAAGCCTCAGTCTTCCCCTCTGGACCTTGATGGTCCTGCATGCAAAATACTGTGTGGATTGTATGGCCCAGGGTGGTTTTAGAGAATGAACCACATTGCTGAGAGAATTGGAGTTCATTTAAATGTCCTCTGCCAGGGATTTTGCTCAGTGGTTCTGCTGACTGCCTTGCAAGTGCAAGGGCCCAAGTTTGATCCCCGGTACCGGGGATATAT